ATTGGTCCCGTAGCGCCGCTCTGGGCGCCACTGGACCAACCCAGCAGCACAGATTCAGCCACTGTTGAAACTGATCAGTTTCAGCAGCGGCTGAATCTGGACGCCAGTTCCGACTTCCATACAGATTCAACTTAAGAACAAACCTACAGTCCCTATCTTGTACGTAACCCGGGGACTGCCTGTACTGTTTGATCTAGTACAAGCCTTTTATAATTCAAGTTCAAATAATCATTAGACTGTTTAAATACCAATATTTGATGATGCTTTAAAACACTTACTGTCCAACCGGGCAGCTCTCTCATCTATCACACACTGTTTGGTGTAGGAATCTTCAATTGTTGGATCATAATCTGTGACGAAGTAGGACTGTGGAAAAAAACAGAATGTATGTATGCGCACAGGACACACACACACACACACACACACACACACACACACACACACACACACACAAAACGCACTGTTTAATGAAGTTATTAATTACTTGTGGTCTATCAAACTTAAAACTAGGGAAAGTTCGTGGCCTATTGAAGGTCAGTTATTTTCTGCACTGAACCAAAAAAAAAAAACAAAAAAACCCAAAAATCATCCAAATCAGACTAAACAATAAATCTAAAAAGGATTAGTCATATGGCAACCTCTGGCAATGGCATGACATGGGCAAACATCTGAGGGGGCAAGTGTTATTAATCCTGGATACATTTTGTCATTTACATGGTAACGTTCTTTAAGGACATAAAATCCTGCGTTCTCAGTGAACCATTAAGTTAACCTAACGTTTAACCGGCTAAACCAAGTTTAGGCAGGGCCACTGCAGGCCTAGAGCAGGTAGCTGGGAAATTGCTCCAACCTTACCCATTAGCGGAATTGATAAGCATCCCCACTTAAGGGTAACAATCACTGGCTAAATCTTCCACATCCCGAATATTAACTCCCTTTGAGGTTAATAACTAATCTAAACATTCACTGGAGTAACTACCATTTGCACTAATAGTCTTATCTCAAAGCACATGAGTTTTAGCTGGTTTTCTTGCATAATTTTGGAATATTTCTCAAGTGTTTGAGACAGTTTAATTGATCAACTCTCCTTCCAATGACACTTGTTTTTATAATTTTGCTATGCCAGTCCTACTTCCTTCACCCTATTCCACTAACATTTATTTTTAAACTCTGCATCACTTTCACCCCTTTCCATTTGAGAAACACTAAACCAAGTTCACCCCGATGTTGTTAACGCCAACAATAGTTTGGCTCTTTATTTGGCCTTCCGCCTCACTAGTCCCATTAACCATTACAACAGTGATAAAAGTATCAAATTCATTATTATAGTGATAAAAACCTCAGGGTGAAACAGAGCAGCTCGGACAAAACTGTATGTTGAACAACAATACTATACAAGACACGGTATTGTGAACCCCAAAATCTAGTCTCAATGGAGCAGCCATCACAATTTGCACACGTTCTTAGAATATTTAGAAATATCAAGTATGATATTTAAATGGTTTGGCAGAAGTCTTTCAAATGGACTAGGGAATTTAAAGAGACAGATGGCTTTTGGGCCCATTGGCCTATTTGAACATGCATATCAATTTTATTAAGTGAAAAGTAAAATCTTTAAGCGTTCCACAGCCCACATATTAGCTTTTACTTAATTAAAATCCTCTTGCTGCCAATAAGCTGAATGAACCTGTAGATCACTTAAAAACAGTAATTTAGAATAATGGTGGGGAATATGCATGTAATAGGATAGTTGATTAACTGATAAGCAAAAGCTTATAGGTTAATGCTATAGACTACATGCATTTCCACTTCCCCACCAATAAATTTTTTAACAACAGGCTGGCCATCAGCCCAGCTCAGTCATGGCTTGTGATAGGTCCAACACCTACCGCTGCTGCAGCTCTGCATTTAAAGTGCATTAAGAGCTACGTGTCAGGCAGCACAGATCAACTCCGGCTTGCAACCCCCCGGACAGGAGCACGGGGCAACAGTCAGCCCATCTGTGCGACGAGCTGGTTTTTAAACTGGCTCCCCCCGCATACCAGCTCCTGCCTGGCACCCTGCACTGCTGCCTCTGATACAGAGACAGAGGCAGCAGTGCGGATTGGCCAGGGGCTCCCCGGGAGAGGTGCCGGAGTGCACGGCTGGCCCTATCCCTGGGTACTATAGAAGAGTTGACTAACTGATAAGAATGTATGAGGTTACGCGACTATTCAATTAACTGATATTTAACATCCCTAGTGGGGAATAGTCCCTTGTTTACTTCCAGATTCACAGTCACCACACACTGTATCCTTTTAAGCCCATATTTAAAACAAAAATCAACCTAAAAAGTGTATTCAATCAGCCCTCGAATCAGCCTTGTCAGCATGAACGCTTCAATACCTCAACGTAATATTTTAAATAGAATGTGAGCCATCTAAAAGCTGAAGAGTCAGCAATTTAGAAAACCCACTAACTTTCTCTACAACATGTCTTCCCCACAAATCTTGCACACACATTGCTTGTCTAATTTCACTATGGGTTTGTGTGTCTACTTTGCAAAAACCCTGCAGCAGCAGGGCACAGGGCCTCAAACAATTGGGTTGTGCTCTGCCCTCCCCCCCCACAAAACAGGCAGCTGGTGAGAGTCCCCCCACATTCCTAGAGGGGGTGGGGCTCAGACTTCCAGCTTTAGCCATGGAGTAGGAGATGGCAAGCTCTAGCTCTGCAGCCAGGGGAAGTAACCCAGCTGCATGGCTTCAAGCTCCTGCTCCAGGCTCACCAACCCCTATCACCTATGCCCCTCCAGATCCAGGGCTTACTTGAACTCCCAGCTTTCCAGGGCTGGGTAAGGCATTATCTATAGTGGTAATTGAGCGACAACGCTCGTATTGTTCATGGGCATGCGTACACACACACACACTCACCTTGCTGCAGCAAGTACTAGTGTAAACGCCACTCAAGAGTAGGGGGTGGAAGTTTTCTGTTGCCAAATGTACTAACAAATAGTGTTTACACTGCCTGGTACAGCTGTGTTGACACAACCCTGTGGCTAGCAGCTTTGTAATGTAGGCATACCCTATGTCTGCTGTGAAAAGCAGTATTTGTTTGTTACTGTCCCTTCTCATTGCCTCCTTGCAGCAGCAGATTGCTAGCTAGGGGGAAGCAATATGGAACAAAGTATTACTTTTCACAGGAGACTTATTAGCTAGCAAGTGTAAAAACGGGAGCAGGTAAAAAAACCTGAGACAACGTGCAAAGCATTGTGTGTGTTTCTATTCTGTGTAGGTCCAAAGAATAGACAACAGAACTGAAGTGCTAATTCAGTGGGTACTTAGCACCCACCCACAGGCAGCTGCCCTCCACTCTCCCAGAGCCTCCTGCCCATCAACAGCCCTCACAAACTTCTCTCACTCCCTCCCAGCCACTCACAGATGCTGCCATAAGCTGTTCCAACATATACAGGAGGGGCTCAGGGGGCAGAAAGAGGCAGAGTGGGGGCAGCCTGGGGATCAAGCACTAGGGATGTAAAATCCCAGAATATTTAACCAGTTAACCCATATCCCACAGCAGGGTGGGCCCAGCCAGGTAGGAGCAGAGGAGGATAAGGGGCACTCCGGCCTGCCCCCCATTTAATCGGTTAAACGTAACATTTAATTGGTTCACTAACTGACCAGAATTTTCATAGCATCATAGAACATTAGAACAGGAAGGGACTGGACTGTGAGGTCATCAAGTCCAGTCCCCTGCCCTCATGGTAGGACCAACCACCTTCCACTCTTAAATATCTCCAGAGGTGGGGATTCCACAACCTCCCTGGGCAATTTATTCCAGTGTTTAACCATCCTGACAGGAAGTTTTTCCTAATGTCCAACCTAACCCTCCTTTGCTGCAATTCTTTCTGATCATGATTCTTTCTGATCATGAGGGGGCAAGAACAATTTTTCCTCCCTCCTCTATGTGACACCCTTTTAGATACCTGAAAACTGCTATCATGTCCCCTCTCAGTCTTCTCCTTTCCAAACTAAAACAAGCCCAATTCGTTCAGTCTTCCCTCATAGCTCATGTTCTCCAGACCTTTAATCATGCTTGTTGCTCTTCTATGAACCTTCTCCAAGTTCTCCACATCTTTCTTGAAATGTGGTGCCCAGAACTGGACACAATACTCCAACTCAGGCCTAATCAGTGCAAAGTGGAGCAGAATAATGACATCTCATGTCTTGCTCACAACACTCCTGTTCATGCATTCCAGAATCATGTACGTTTGGTTTTTTTGCAACACTGTCACACTCCTGATTCACATTTAGATTTTGGTCCACTATGACCTCTAGATCACTTTCTGCTGTACTCCTTCCTAGACAGTCGCTTCTCATTCTGTGTGTGAGAAACAGATTGTTCCTTCTAAAATGGAGTACTTTGCATTTGTCCTATTTAACTTCATCCTATTACCTCAGACCATTACCTATTACCTATTACCTCAGACCTATCACCTCTGGTTTGTCCAGATCATTTTGAATTATGACCCTATCCTCCAAAGCACTTGCAACCCCTCCCAGCATGGTGGTATCTACAAACTAAATAAGTGTACTCTCTAGGCCATCATCTAAATTGATTAAGATATTGAACAGAACTGGTCCCAAAACAGACTCCTGCAGAACCCTACTTCTTATGCCCTTCCAGCAGGATTGTGAACCATTAGTAGCTACACTCTGAGAAAGGTTATCCAGCCAGTTATGCACATGCCTTACAGTAGCCCTGTCTAGGTTGTATTTCCCCAGTTTATTACTAAGGTGGTTGTGCAAGACTGTATCAAATGCCTTATTAATATCTAAGTATACAAAATGCACCGCTTCTCCCTTATCCACAAGGCTTGATATCCTATCAAAGGAAGCTATCAGATTGGTTTGACATGATTTGTTCTTTACAAATCCATGCTGGCTGTTCCCTATCACCTTCTAGATCAGCAGTTCCCAACCTTTTCCAGATGGGGACCTGATTTTGACAATCAGAAAGACTTGGTGACCCAAGGCAATTCAAAAACAGAGGGAGAAGGGAGGACAGAGCCACCTGGGGAGACACTTGGCGACCCTTTTGAAATGTAATGGTGATCCATATTTGGGTCCCGACCCATAGATTGGGAAACCCTGTTCTAGATAATTGCAGATGAATTCCTCAATTGCCTGCTCCATTATCTTCCCTGGCACAGAAGTTAAAACTGACTGGTCTGTAGTTTCCTGAGTTGTTCTTATTTCCCTTTTTATAGATAGGCACTATATTTGCCCTTTTCCAGTATCTCACCTGACTTCAATGACTTTCCAAAGATGTAGCTAAAGACGCAGATACCTCCTCTATCAGCTTCTTGAGTATTCTAGGATGCATTTTAT